CCAATGCAATACGGGTTTTCGGGTCGCGCTCGTGCGAATGATGCCTTGCGTTTTTTTCATTGTTTACTTGTCTTCGGAAGTGGTGGATGCCTGCTCAATTGTTCATCTTCTTTCATATCGTTCTGATGGACGATCGTTTGAAGTTCTGGTTAGGAATGAGGAGATAGATCATGATGACTTCCAAATAGTAGTAGAACCTTAGAAAAACAGTCACTGTCAACTTAAGAAAATCGTTAAAAATGTATGTGGTTGGCCAATAGTTTGGACGAGTTTTATCGCCAATTATGCACGTCTAGAACTCTTCAAGTGAAAACTTCCGCTTCCGGAGTGATGGCATTCTGCTAGTTCCAGTTTTAGTTTTTGTTCTTTCACTTAATCCTTACCTTTGTACCTAATAGTGAAGAAGTAAAGTGACTATCTAACAGAACCGCTCCCAGAAACAATCAATGCTCCCATGTGCCTAATCAGTGCAAATACATATTGAAATAAATAAAAAACACATCTTGTAATGGCGCAATCACTTTAACACTGTATAGGCCCACTTCGGGAACTCCTACACATGGGCGTGGTCGTTGGCAGTGGGCGGCGCTGCCGTCGCTACGGTTCCCGGTTCCGGCTCTGGTAGCGCTTTTTAATGCTACCAGAGCCGAAACCGGGATTTGGCGTTAAACGCTTGTGCTTGTTCGGCCGCATTCTGGAGCTCGGACAATTGTGGACTAGTGCTCAAAGCAAGCTTGGAATGAGGCGTGTCGTTTCAACGACTTTGTACACTCCAAGATTTCCCACCAGATGAGTGGTTTGCCGCTCCATCCCTTCCAAGTATGGTAGTCCTGGCGGGGCGTGGTGCGCGGCCGGCGGGGGAGGGGGGGGGGACATAGGTGACCTGCTTCCCATGCGGCAGAAATAGAAGTATGCGACATCAGAACTGCTCGTATTTCTCCGTAGATTAAGTACTGCACCAAATTTTCGCAGGGGTAGCAAGGATCTCATTTTGTGGATATGCCCTGTTCATATCCTAGTCATCGAATTGATAGTTTGAAGCCAAGGTCTACATGATACAATATTGAAATATGGTAGAAGTGTAGAGATTGGAGAATTGGAGAGGCTTGTTCTAGTCCTGTAGCGAAGAGCATCGGAGTCAAGTCTGAACATGTTAACTCGACGTCGACTTCGGCGGACGCCGATGGTTCATTCCTTTCCGTGCGGTCATGGCGCCTCGTCGTTGGTTTCGTCGTTGGCTTCGCCATTGTTTTCATCGCTCTCACAACAGAACGTTAGTACTTCAGGTCCTTCATTCTTCATAGCGTGTAGCTAGCCAAACTGGAAATTCACTCAACTTCAGCTAGCTACTCTGAGCAGTTTCTACGTGTTGTGTTCCCTTCTGTGTAGTCCTTTTTTATTCCATTTTTTCTATATTTTCCAAGTAATTAATGAATTTCCAGGGACATGAGGATCGGCCGTCGAGCAGTACGTACTGCTTTCGCGGCTGCCGCATTCCTTAGCGCGAAGGGTACGCTGGAAGATAAGGTCGTTGCAACAGGAATTGAGACGTATAAACCTCCGCTCAACTACGCAGAAGTCCCAATCAGCAGAAAGGTGGTGTTTGATTTTTTTCAAAGTGCTAGGGGCAGTCCAATAGAAAGCAAATACTGACGAACAATATATCGTGGAGGGAAGTATTTCCAGAGACAATGGAAGGAAGAAGAGATCTCCCGAAGTGTGTAGTGTCAGTGTTTCCAGTTGGATTCCTTTCACCTTAGATTATAAACTGCGTATATCTATATATTCTTGAACGGAAGGTGACCTGAGAATGACTGTTTAACGAAACTGAATTACCAAAAAAGCCTATCTCAAAGATAAAAAGAGATGACAGTGAAAAAATTCAATGCTTCATAACTTATTTGAGAGGAGACTTCATGGGAAATCGCGTCAAGGTGAAAGCTCTGGCCACTCCATCCCTTGATCTTCATTTTTTTGGACAGTTCCATTCTGGAAAGTTGGGAAAAAACTTCATGATTCATGTGTAATGCAATGTCAACCTCAATAGCTTTGGGCGTTGGGCGCTCTCATAGTCGATCGTCGGGTCGTAGCGATCGCATGGCATTAGGCTGGTGTCAGAGTCCGCGATCCGTCGCAGTTTCGCTGATTTTCGCGATTTGCGCGAAACCTGCGACGGATCGCAAAAATTGCAAGTGCCCCATTTGAACATTTGAAACACTGAATATGAAACAAGTGGAATCATGAGCAGTCGTCATTCAGCCATCACTATCAAGCAGAAGTGGCGGCAGGATTGGAGAACACCTTGCAGTATTGATCGGGCACTTGTGATTTCCGTGACCCGTCGCGTGAATCGCGTGAATCGCGTGAATCGCGCAAATCGCGAAAATCAGCGAAACCTGCGACGGATCGCGGACTCTGACACCAGCCTTAGCATCAATCGTCCGACACGTCCGATTGTAACATTTGGTTCGTTCGCAGAGCTTCGATTGAGGCTGCTCAACCCCGTCACGGCTCATTATGATTGGTGGATCACGCCTGACCGCCAATCACGGGCATTTTGAGAGGTGGTGTGCGTTTGACTTAGGCCTCGCAATCGATACTGATGTTGAATGCTGGTGCAACGCTGGGCTAAACTTCAACGAGACCAAAGAATTTATGCAATCCTTTTTCCTGGATTCAGCCGAATAATATTTCTTGGTAATCATGAGTTCCTGTAAAAGGGCTTGTCATTCGCTTTTGTGCAGATGTTTTACGTTGTAGACAAAAAGGCTAGAAATAATCAAGTGCGACTGAAGTTTACTGATAAATCTGGCTTTCGAAAATGGCATGTAATTCTCTAAGGCGCTATCAAAAGATACGAAATCGTTCCGAGTTTCCCCTACTAATTTAGTTGTTTCAAGAAGACCTGAAGATCTAGATGAATTCTTGTTCCTTGGCGCTTTTTTTGATTTCTGCTTTCTGTTTCATATGGTGCACTTTCTCAGTATAAATCATGCAATTAATGCACATTAATCGCGTTCTACATATTCTAATTGGTGAGCCGGGACTATGCTTCAGGCAATGGATGAGAGAATCCAGAGTGCGTAGGCAATTTCCGTTTTCCTTGAAGCTGCCCCCCTAGGCCTAGTCTAGAGGTTGCCCCCGTATCTTGGGAAAGCGCCTCCTTTGATTAGGTTCTCCTGATGAATTATGAATTATTTTGCAAACACGAACGAATCAAATTTCAGATTATCAATCCTGCCGACAAGAGTGGTCTGAATCTGCGTCTGTATCAGTATCAGTCATGCCCATTCTGTTGCAAGGTAATTAACTTGGATGTTTTTTTTTCACTTTTCCACTTCATCAGGTGATATTTCCTAGGTATTTCCTAGTTTCGCCTAGTTTAATATACTTTGAATAGGCAATTCCAGGTTCGAGCTTTTCTCGACTATTACGGTTTTTCCTATGAAGTTGTCGAGGTCAATCCTGTGACTAAGACTCAGATGTCGTTTTCGAAGGGTTACAAGAAGGTGAGCATACTGCTGTATTTTTCACGAATCTGGCCAACCGTTGCGATCGCGAAAACACTGTGAAAAACTGGACCTTTCTCCCTATTTGTATTATTTTAATGCCATGTTCAGCTCTAAAATTTGTCTTCTATTATAATCCGATCTGTTTTGACTCGTTCAGGTTCCCTTGATTACAAGCGCCGAAGGCACATTCAAAGATTCGTCGCTCATCATTTCTCAGGTCTGTCGATTTCAACAATTGTTCTAGGTTATTATTATTTTTGATGAGCGATCGCATTACAGCTCACAACATATTTGAAACGTGCTGATCGTAATTTGTTTGAAATCGACGAAATGTACCCATCAATTGAAGCGATCAATGATGATGGGAAGGTGATCAAAGTGTGCCCGAACAAATATGTGATTATGAAGGAGGAATCGAATGATGATGAAGATTTTGCATACGAAAGGTTGTTTTGAACGTCTTTGTTGTTCTCGTCTTGTTGCTGATGTATCAGGGGATCACCTCATATCCCGATCACATCTCCCGTGATACCGTTACAGTCTTTGAGCTACCGAAAACAGAAGCGTAGATGGCTGAATGAGTGTAGGTGTCAAAGCGGAATGAGAGTCGTGTCCAGAAAATTCTCGATCCTCTAAAATCCCTTCACGATGTGCTCCACAATGGTGTCGATAACCGTGCCATCGAACTTGATATCACTTGGCACACTTCATTTCCGCCCTCAAAACTATCCAACTGTAGTGAGGGGAGGGGTGATTGCAAATGATCACACGCTAATTTTACGCATTTTACTCCTCTCTTTTGTTTTCTCACTTATTATATCCAGTTCCAAATTCCAAATCTACAACCTAATGCCGTCTTCCTCTCCTTCCCAAGGCAAATACGACCTCTGTCCTCGACAGTGGGTTCCCTGGTCCATCTATGATTGGGCAATTCTTGCTCAATTTCGAAAATGGCAGAATAGCGGACCCCTTTGCTCAGACTGAACGCGAAAAATCCTCCCAAGCTAGTGTGTTATGGCCAGCCTTGAATAAGTACCTTCACTTGCTATTTTTTGGAAGCCTTGTCTTTTATTTTTTGGTGTGGTGATCGCGTCGTGCCCTTTAAACAATTTTCTGTGTTTACAATGACCATAATATTCAACTCCATATGGTGTTGCCTAATGTCATACTCAAAGTCAGTTTTTAATCGATGTAAAGTGTAGAAAGCTGTAGTTACAGAGAGGAACGCAAGTGGCGCGAATGGGTCGACGATCACTTCATTCATCTCATCTCTCCCAACATCTATCGTAATTTTTCTGAATCGCTGGAGACATTCGAGTGGTTCTCCAAGGCAAGTTTCAATCCCACCCCATCCCCTATCTCTACAGCTGGAAGTTCATTTCAGTTTGGTGAATGGGAAGTAAATTTCTCCACTTGGAGTCGCCTTTTGGCCAAGTATATGGGAGCTTTCATTATGTGTATCATTGCCAAGCGTCTGAAGAGAAGGTTTGTTCACCGTCTTTTCCGAAGCAAGGACTGTGTTTTGACAGACCGTTTCCTTTTGTGAACGTTTTCTACTCAGGCATAACATCTCCGATGAGAGGCAGGAATTAAAGGATGCTTTTGAAGAGTGGATGAATGCGATCGGACCGAATAGAACTTTTATGGGCGGTGATAAACCGAATCTAGCCGATCTCGTGAGTTTTTCGAACGTTCTCGTTACTCCTTTTCTTTCGGCGGGTGAAGGTGCCAAATACGCGCCTGTTCCATTCATCTGCGTCCACTCGCCGAGGTAGTGTGCATTAGCCGCTTTTCATAATATATTATAGTTGACTTCTTACACGAGTTCAATGAATCGTCCAATCCCTGCCCTTGAACTTGTCTCATTTCCTTTGGCTCACGAGTCTTTCGTTTTATGCCGAAAGCTACCACTGTCTCGATAAGAGGGCGCAGATAAGCGAGCTTGCGCAGAGAGGTCAACGGACTACTTGAACTCGGCCTTAAAGCAACAGTCCAGGCAGGGTTTCAACTACTTGGTCATTAGGCGGTCAAAACATGCCCCAGCCCAACTAAAGTTTATAGGAAATGTCTTTAAGTTCAAAACCTACCTCTAAAATGCGCTGGAAGGGGTCGAAGTCCTCTTGGAGGGGGCGGATCACCCATACCGAGGCGGATCGCTCAACATACGCTGTGCAGAGCGCGTGCTCGACTAGCGGTCGTTGCGGGACCGCCGCGCTGTATGAGGTCGATTCCATAAGAACGCAATTGAAGCGCTTCAATTTCGATTGCTGGCAAATAGTTATGTATTTGCAAGCATGCATGGCTATTTGCCAGCAGTTGCAATTGGAGCGCATGTACTACGGGCAGGTTCGGACAACTCGTCCAACACACGTCTCCCTAAACGGCAGGGGGAGTCCCTGTCTAAGCCCCTGCCCGACGTTTTTTTCTACTTTTTCTTTCTCCATTGACCAACTTCTCACCTGCAACGTCATTATAGGTGGTCCTTACCCGCGAATTCGTTCCTGGATTGTTGCTTTAAGCTGCCTCACTCGACGCTTTCGTCTGCGCTCTCTCACCTTATCAGCGGCTCATGACCACTGTGATCTCACACATTCAAACTTTTGCCACACTGTAGTTGGCTCACCCACCTCGGAGTCCCTCCCCTACAAGGCTTAGTCCTAGGGCTCTCACCTTCCTCCTTGGGATTTGGAGCCGAGCCAGGCGCCGTTCTCTGATCGTCTGTGCTCTCCGCCATTCGTGGCAGGACCATGGACGAAAGTGCAAGTAGTCCGTAAACCGCGCAGAGAAGGCTACCTAGCCTCCCCTCCTCATCTACAGTAATATTCACTCCTATGAGATTGGCTTACTTGACTGGAGATGATTTCTTCGACAGCGAAGGGGTACAGTGACCACCATGGGCGGCATTTGAGCCGAAAGTGGCGGGTCGGTTTTCCCAGCAAAATGCAAGCTTCCTACTTCCCGTGGAACTATGGATGGAGACCTGATATCAAAAGGATCAGGAATACTAATCAGGACCCAAAATGCTACGTGAACTTTCCGAGCAAGTCCTCAGAGGTCAAAGTTTTCAGAATATGCAGCAAAAGTGAGTTGTGGCATCACAGTGAGCCAGATCACCTACGTGTCAAAGATGGATATCATATTCGTGATCAGGCTACCTATTTGCTCTATATGCAAAGTTTAAAAAAAAACATAAAAGATAATGCAGATAGACTAGCTCCCCTTACATGCTGACGCTTCCTGCCAACTTTGACACGACTTTCTGTGAAAGTTCATATAGTAATTTTGGTCTCCTTATTCGTAATCAGCATCCTCAGTTGTATCGATCTACCCACGTCCTCATTCAAAGTTCCATGAGAACTTGAAAGCCTTCTCCGGTAAGCATCTGTTGAGTGTATTTCAGCTTCAAAGGAATCGTCTACGGAAAAACTACTATTCTGTGTTCCCCATAAATCGTTAGATTAAAGGAATCCTTCACGGAAAAATCATGATTCTATTTCAGCCATAAATCACTGGCTTGAGACTCATTATCCACGATAAGAATGAAAAGAACAGAAAAATTGCATTTGTTTTGGTAAAAAATTCGAAAAACCGAAAGGGCTGCTACGCGTTCAAAGTACCGCCGGACATCTGTCACAAATGCTGGCGACGGGGATGCTTCCACTTGGTTCTTGGAGTGCCTTCACTAGAAACTCTTTCTGGCCTTTTGACTTATTGCATTCACATCTCACACTTCTACTCCATCCTATTCTATCGATCGATTTGTCTCTACTCTCCAAAATCGCGCGCTTTAACCCGATTCTTTCATTGCGTCGCCTGATACGTAGCCGGCCAAGGCCAACTTCTTTCCATGCCTCGCCTTTGGCTCCGCCCCTTACCTTCGATTGTCCATAGAGTGTAGTTTTTGTACGTTTGTTTCTCTTCGGAAACCGAATCTTCATGCGTGAAACTTTGTGTGCTGTTTCCAGTGACACATTCATGTTGAGAAAGAATGCAAGAATTTTCCGCGAAGGATTCCTTTAAGAGCCAAAGAAAAGAGCGAGAAAGATGAATAAATGCGTTGGCTTGTCAATCAGTTCAAAAACCGCTACTGTTACGTATTCAAACGCGTTCATTCTCCCGCTGCACTTCTGTCGCATATGTGTGAATGCCTCTATTTGCTTCTTGTAGTGCCACTAGAAGCTCTTTTTGGCCTTTTTACTTTTGGAAAAAAACATTTCTTCCGCATCCTATTTTATCGTTCTGGCTCGGGTTTCCAAATACAAGCTTTGGTTCAATGCTTTCAATGCGTCGTCCAATACGTGGCCGCCCCGGGGCGCACTTTTTCCATTTTCTCCGCCTGACCTACCCGCCACCGTCCCTGAGTGTGGTTTCGTAGGTTTGTTTCGCTTCGGGAGTTGAACTTTCTCACGTGAAACTTCTGTTCTTTGCCTCTAATAATCGCAGCTGAGGTATTCATGCTGGGAGAATGCAAGAATTTTCCGTGAACGAGTCCTTCAAAGTGCAACTAAAGATGTTACCATTCCAGGCAATGTATGGCGCTATGACAGCATTTGCTGGTTGTGGGGCTTTTAAAGAAGCTATTGAGAGTAGCTCGATCAAGCACTGGTTCGAAGCTGTGCGTTCGGCTGTACAGAATCATGAGGGTCGTGAGATGCTCGCCAAGAGAACCAGTGCTCCTGCCATTCAACCGAAATAGGTTTGTAATCTTAGGAATACATAACACATAATATTAACCACCGTCACTTCTTCTAAAGAATCTGCACGGCTTGGTCTCATTTGTGATTCGGTGATGCTTCACCCTGCCTTTTGTCCTTTTCTTTTGTGTTTGTTGTGTATTCCTTGCATTTCCTAGCGTAGCCTAGTACAGTCCAAAGAAGCTTTCTTCTGTTTTTATAGTGATGGCTAGCACCGTCGGGAGTTGCCAGTCTTGTTGTGTTTTGTTTAGTGTATTCATTGCACATGGTGTGTACCTTGTTGTTTTGAATGTCGCAATAAATTTTATCTTGTTGAGCCGAATGCTGTCTGTGTGTTTGTCAAGGTTAATCCCTTGTTTATCGCAAGAGTATTGGTGTTTGTTAAGGCGATTGGTCGTGCATGGGATCATTTTCTGCCGCTAGTCCATGAACGGTTACCTATTACTCTGCCTTCAAACTGCTTTGCTTCTCCCACTGCACAGGAACTCGCCCTACACAGATTATGGCAAACCAACTTTCTGCCCCTTTCTTAATCGCTAACGCTCTCAATTCCCCTAACACTCAATATTTCGGGAATGCTGCACTAGGCGCGGTTTTCTGCAAGCGCAATGTTATTGCGCATGTATTGCGTGTGTCAGGAGATCCGACTTACAGCGGCACGCAACACCAAGTCAACGCTCGTGGCATTTGAACGTTGAGTCATATATCACTAGAGTTTGTTTTTCATTACTTTCACATTGCTGTTCGGATTTTGCTCTCTTGATTCTAGAGTTGTGTTTTCCTTTGCAGTTGACCTTTTTTATTCCCTACTATCGTTACTAGTTTGGCTGCGTACGCATTCGCGTGCATCACGCGGGACTACAGTGATGCGAAACAGGGCCACCAATTTTTTATGATGCTTTATGGCCAACTTCGCCCTGTTGTCCTCCCTTCCGTTGTAGGGCCCTATCCTCTTTTTCCAGACTTCTTGGAATCGAGTTATAAGTTCGGAGCAAACTACGCCCACATTGGTGCACGCCCGCCCACCAATAGCAGTTGACCTCCATTCCGTTGACGGACTTTATCACTTTCTTCCCGGTCTCCGGACTTCTTGGAAACGAATTATAAGTTCGTAGCAAACTACTATCACCTCAGTGCACGCTCCACTCGCCAATAGCAGCTGAGCTTCCTTTCCTCGGCAACATCCACTTTTTCCTGGGCCACGAAACTTCTTGGAACTGAATTATGAGGATCTGTGAGAAACAGTCCCCACTTGAGGATGCGCTCCACTCACTGTGGGCGGGGTTCCACAAAGTCAAGTATGCCGAGAACACCTGATATTGCTCCCCTACACCGATTGCTTTGTGCTCCACGGGCTTTCCTAACAGAGATCAATTTTTTCGTTAGGCTTCGCCCTTAGAGAACGCTCCGTCCACCGCAAGTACGTCTCCCTAATTCAACTTATAGACTAAGAACACATCTTTACCCGACTTTTTTCGAGGCTTTATATCACCAAACTCACCCGTGCCCCACCCAGACTTGACCCGCACCGGTAGGTGGCTCTTCAGGTAGTACCGGATTTCGTGACAGACGAAAAAACAGACAGACAGACAGCCTTTGCGCATTATATATGGTAGTGATTGATCAGCTCAGCATCCTATAGATGTCAATTCTCGTTGAAATAGAAATACCATGCGTGAAAGAGAAATCAAATTTGGTTCAATTCGTCTCCTAAAATTTCGTGGATAAGCCACTTCTGTGATCATTGTCTTCCTTTAAAGGAAGAGAATGCGCGATCAGTGCACTAGTTCCTACTATATCATTACCAGTGAAAAGAGCAAAGGGAAACAGTCCATATCATGTATTAGGCATTTCTCACACAATCAGGAGAATATGAGGGTCTCTGCCTCCTTGAGAGAGACAGTGATAAATTTATCGCGAATCTAGGAATCCGTGAGCCAGAAGGAATATGGATTGTTCATGGGTGTGAGTGAATTTGACATGCGTGAAAAGTCCGAATTTGAGAGTTTACACTCTCTCGCTGAGAGGACACGCGTAGACACGCCACGTGGGGCCGTGCGACTG